TATAAGATGTGGACTTCAACTGATATAGATCTCTCTTTCTCTCTTTCTCTCTTTCTCTCTTTCACATTCTCTGCCCTTCTCTCTCTTTCTCACTTTCTCACTCACTTCCTCTCTCTTTCTCTCTCTCTCTCTTTCATTACTTACTCCATTCATCAATCTTTTTCTATCTATTATCTATCCATCCATCCATCCATTAAATCCATCAGTGGTGGGATTCCAAATTGCATACTACCGGTTCTGTGCGCTTCGGCTGGGAGATATAGGCCAGAAAAAGGGCAGGGGTGGGTGAGTGGGGCCAATCAGAGGTGGTATTTGCCAGTCCTCCAAACTGGTCAACAATTTTCACTCCCGGTTCGCGCAAACCGGTCCAAACCGACTGAATACTACCACCTCTGCCATCCATCTATCCAATTACTCCATCCGTACAGATGAGAGAGAGATTTTTCAACTATAAGATGTGGACGTCAACTGATATAGATCTAACTTTAGAGATAGTCTTGACTTATGACCATTTGTTTAGTGACCATTCAAAGTTACAGTGGCGCTGAAAACAGTGACATGTCCATTTTTCACACTTACATCTGCTGCAGCCTTCCTATGGCCACATGATCAAAAATCAGACCCTTGGCAACCGATTCATATTTATGATGTGTCCCGATGGTCACAAGTCCATGGGGAAAGCCAGATTCATTTAATGACCAGGTTACTGACAACGACTGCCGCGATTCACTTCACGGCAGTGGCAAGAAAGGTGGTAAAAATGAAGCAACCCTCACTGCACACCTGTCTCGCTTACCAATGGAAATTTTGGGCTCAGTTGCGGCCGTAAGTTGAGGACTTACCTATAATATTGCTAGAATCGTACTTTGTTTTTTTTCCTCCAGTAACCTAAGCTTACATTTCATGGAATAAATGGCTCATATTTGTCAGACAGGAACCTCATATTGCTGAAGCTAAAAAAAAACCAAAAAACCTGTGATTTAAGCAAAACTCGAATTTAGGCAAGCTATCAATTTTGCCCTTCTTTGACTGCTCCAGTCTCCAGAATAAAATAGCACCTTTTGCCCTACCTTCCTAGGCAGATGCGTGAAATATTGTCATAAAATATTGTGGCCCATTAAGAGAGATATTGCTATGGAGATGTCATTTTAAAAATTCCAACAGGAAACAAAGACAACAACGCAAGCAATAATTCCTACTTTAAGGTTTATTGTTTCTAATAATTTGGAACATAAGAAATGAATAGATATTAAAGATATAATAGCAGTGATACGCTTACATTAATAAGCCATTGCAATGGGGTCCAATGACATATAGCAGGTTCTGCAAGGACTGCCATAAATCAAAGGGCCCCCGAGCTGATCTCCAATCCTATCCTTTATACTTTCCTTCTAACCACATACATGTGCTTCACAACTTCACTGTCACTTTCCCTAAACACCTGTGGACATTACTTTCAGTTCCTCATTTCCAACAGTTTCATTCTTCCTGTTTTAAATGTATCCATGCAAGTACATACTTTGCAAAAAATATTTTGTCACGGTTAGCAACAGCTCATCAGGAAAGGAAGTACATAGTTGAGGAAGGAAAGGAAAGGAAAGAGGGAAGGGAGGGGAAAGGAAAGTAAGTACATAGATGAGGAAGGAAAGGAAAGGAAAGAAGGATGGGAAGGGAAGGAAAGAGGGAAGGAAAGGAAAGGAAAGAGGGAAGAGAAGGGAAAGGAAAGGAAAGGAAGTACATAGATGAGGAAGGAAAGGGAAGGAAAGAGGGAAGGAAAGGAAAGAGGGAAGAGAAGGGAAAGGAAAGAGGGAAGGAAAGGAAGTATATAGATGAGGAAGGGAAGGAAAGAGGGAAGGGAAGGGAAAGAAAAGGAAAGGAAAGGAAAGGACAGGAAAAGAAGTACATAGTTGAGGAAGGGAAGG